ATTTGTTTCTTAAGAATTTTCTCTAAAAAGATAATATTCGCGCGGACGTGTCGAAGACACGTACGACCACGACCCGAGACGGACGGTGGCGGCGGCGGCGCGCGAGAGTCCCCCTTGTTCTCTATCACTCAACAAGGAAGTGGGAAAGCCAAGCTTTAAATACCATTTCCAATAGTGTTTCCAATACTATGTGGGATTGAGCATTACCAACACTTGTTTCCAATACAATGTGATTATTCAGGAAACAATTAACAATCATGCACCTTAAAACAACTGAATCAGCAACCAATTACATTAGTATTATACGATTAAATATGTCATAATTAAAAGTCAATCAACAATCAATCGCGATTATTGCAATTTTAAGCAAAACATTCAAAAATAATATCAATATTTAAGGCTAAATCCCACATAGTATTGGGAACAAGTGTTGGTAATGCTCAATCCCATATAGTATTGGAAACACTATTGGGAATGATATTTAAGGCTTGGCTTTCCCACTTCCTTGTTGAGTGATAGAGAACAAGGGGGACTCTCGCGCGCCGCCGCCGCCGTCGTCTCGTCTCGGGTCGGGTCGTGGTCGTGGTCGTGGTCGTGGTCGTGGTCGTGGTAATACGTGTCTTCTACACGTCCGCGCGAATACTATCTTTTTAGAGAAAATTATTAAGAAACAAATGCAATACCGTCGTTGCGATTTTGGACTATCGCAACGAATTTCGAATAAATCGCAACGCGAACTTGGACTATCGCAATGTGAATATGTAAATCGCAATGCGATAGTCGAAGTTCGCGTTGCGAATCTGGAAACTGATTTGCGATACCGGAGATCGCATTGTGAATTATCGATCGCATTGCGATTTAGTTGGTCATTTTGGCAAATCCAAAAAAAGTTGGTTAAAATCGTATATTATAAGATATTTTTGGTCACTGATGTTATTTTCTCTTAAAAATAAGTTTAAGTGAGAAGAAAATATAACATCGATTTCGTGAGATTTTATTTTAATGATAATGAATGATTGAAGTTCTTTGTTAACATCTCAAAAGTTAGAATAATTCTGACTGCCGGAGGTCTTTCACGGAAGCTGCTCTCAACCTGGCGTTGGGGTAGCCTACTATCTTACCTCCTCCTCACCCCATTACATATGAGAATAGGATAAGCTAATTTAATTTATTTCAAAAGTTAGGATAATGACATCTATTTCAAAGAAATTATAATATATTAAAATCGTAATTTGTAATGTCGAATGATAGAGAACTTACATAAATTGATATTTATGAGAATTTGTGGAAGAGAAATGGCAAATGATGAATTGGTTAGCCAACAAAATTGAAGAAAGCTCCGTTTCAGCTTATGAATTGGGTAATAATTCCCTTTCATAGTCCCATAGTATGGCCTATGTGAAGACCTCAAGTCAACGTTGGCACATTGCCTTTTACAATAAAAACAAAACTATTTTCATGAGAAGACAAGTGAATCAAAAGCAGCCTGATAGAGAAAACTTGCTTTTAGAATATACCAAGATTGTGGGTTCCTTAACCAAAATTATTTTTCGGATTTTTGGTCTACCTAAATAAATCTGACTTTTTGGGTAAAAATTAATACTCGTATATATAGAGATTAATATTATTACAATTATCTTTATATATAAAAATAAATTTATTATTTTTGGATCGAATCAAGTTAAAAACATTTTACCCTAAAACTGACTTGATCTTAAATTTTAGAAAAATCAATCTTATAAATAGATCAGATCGAAATCTATTAATTTCGAGTCTTGTATCGATTCCTAATTTTCCCCCCCCCCTCAACCCTATTGTTGATGGCAGTGCGGTGGCAAAGCTGTTGTAACGAAGAGGGTGTTCCCCTTTAAAAACATTATCAAAATCAGTTTCTTTTTGAGCCACCACCGCATGCGAAGAGTCCCACCACTTCTGCGGTTGGCATTGAGCTTAAATCGACATTCTATTTAATGGATCTCGACTGGCTATGTGGGGCACCTCGGTTCCTAATCGAGGGGTCCTGCCTCAAAAAAGTGGTGGACTGTCGTCGCATTATTAGGGCAGGTCGGCAGTCCATTGTGGAGGCACAAAAGGATTCTCTTTAAATGAAAATCATCCAATTTCATTATTTAATTTCAAGCTTTTCCAACGAGTAATACTTCCATTAATTATTAGTTTTTGTTAAGATCGCTAACTCTTCTGATTTTTTCTTTTTGGAAAGTATAGTTTGTTAAATAATTAATTAGATCGCGATGTTAAAGATATCATTTTTGTAATAACATTTATGTCTAGTATTTTATTGAAAGTTATGGATGATTCACAGAACTGAAAGCATCTTAGATGCAATCATTGAGGATACAGTTGGTTCTATATGTTAATAAAAATATTACTACAAAACAAAATATTAGTATTAAAAAGTAAATAACTATAACAAATAAAAATAAAGGATAAAAGTATTGTGGCGTGTAAATTATTATCTTATAAATAATTTATTTAGATTGATGTTATTTTAAAAGTGGATGTTACCTTTAAAATTAATACAATCTTCTAAATTCCATACACCTAAAATAAGTAGAACTCAAATTACAATAATCCTTTTGTAAAAAAAAGAAAGAAAAAAAACAGATAATTGTGACGTGTAAAAAAAATAAACCTCATCCCTAAACTCGAATTTTAATTTAAAGAACTCCTTCAATTGTTTTCAAGAAAAGTTAAGATTTGAATCTATCCTACCAGCCCACCTTTGTTTACCGAAAAAGCACTTGAAAACTATGAAGATGCACTCGCTAAGTTTCGCAACTTATTGCAATTTGAAAACTTTTAATTTGGTAGAACACAAAGTTCTTGACTTGAAGTCGTGAGATCGAGTCTCACGAAGGGTATTTCATAATTCGGAGGTCTCCTATGAAAGCTACTTTCAACCTGGTATTTAGGACAGCCTAATATCTTACCTCCTCCTACCTAGGGAAAAAAGGGACAGCCAAAGAAAACTTTGGGTTTCCCGAAATATCATTACAAAGTGAAAGTGGTCAAAAGGAGAAAGGAAACAAAATGATTTTTGGTTAGATTGCATCATAAAGTCTTTTAATAATTAATAAAATTACAAATGGGTCATTGTATTTCAAAAAGTTATAAATAAATCATTCAACTAATTGATTGCGACAAAAAAATCACTCTACCATTAAAAATAAAGACACAATGTCAAAATTATCCCCCAACGTTAACTAAAATGGTTATTTTGTCCTCTATTCTATTTTTTGGAGCATTTTGGACCTCAACATTTGATTTTAGGGCAAAAAGTTCTCTAACATTTGATTTAATAATCAATTTGTCCCTTATTCTTTTTTTTTCCTGAGGTATTTTAACACTCAACGTTTCATTTTATGTTAAAAAGGTTCCTATTGTGGAGTGTTAATTATGTGTTAACTAATAGTTTTCATTTATTGAGAGTGTTTTTTACCCAAAATGAAACTTTAGATGTTAAAATATTCCAATAAAAGAATAGATGCCAAAATAACTATTTTGATAAACGTTATGGATTATTTTTTACATTATACCAACAATAAAATGGATGCTAACCTTTTCAGTTATAATCAAATCACTTTATTATATAATTTAACCTTATTACATTCATATGACACATAAATAGAAAGTTTCAATAACGATCTAACAGAGCACCGATAGACAAAAAAATGTGTAGTCAAATAACTCGCAACTCATAAGAAATAACACATAACTCAGACTTAAGAATAGAACAAGATCCAATGCTATAGACAAGTCTCTCAAATCACAATCTTATATGATCACGCATTAAACAATGCGTACTCAGTTGTGGATTCACACATTTTTTGAAGACGAGTATACATATGTTAACAATATAAATTTTTTGATGGAAAATACAAATTACATTATAGGGTGGACATTATCAATAAAATGTGCTCCGATTTAACTATTAATTATAATTTGGTCAATATAAAACATAGATCTTAATTCAAATTTTAATATCGTAATTATCTGTTATTTGAATTTCAAATTTTTCTTATACATCTATATAAATAAATAAATAATATAAAGCTGGATAAGGTTGTGATACAATTTAGCAGACGAATTGTAGTGTTAAAGTGGAGGGCCACTTGAAGAATACATTATTATACAAATTGTAAACATCGTTCTTTATGTTCTTCTCCCATCTAACACATGGTTTAGGTACAAATTGTGTTCTTTCAAATCATCGTTATAACCACTTCATATTATATATCCACTTGCTTGACCTTTGAAATAAAGTTTAAAATTCCTCTCTTTTTTTTATTGTTCGATGGACGAAGCTATGAGATTTTAATAATCTATTTTAGGGTAAATAAAATTTGATTCGATTCAAAAAAATAAATCTAGAATAAAATTCGAATAAATAAAGTTACAAATGATTTTTTATTCATTGAATTATGTTCAAATGATTTTTTTGTTATTAAACTTTCAAAAGTTATAAAATGATAATTAAATTAGTCGCATTGTTATAGAATTGTCATTACGATGTTCCAAAATAGTCATTAAGATTGTCAAATTATTATAAAAATTATTATTAATTTTATCAAAATTTATTATTATTATAACACCACGGTGATCATTTTGTTATATTTTGATAAATTTAATGATCGCTTTATAACTTTTAAAAGTGCAATAACCTAAAAAATCATTTGAAAATAGTTCTTTACCCAAACTAAAAATTTCATACCATATCATCAAAAGGACTAAAAACATAAGTTGAGGGATCAAATTTAAAAAGTTGTCAAAGTCCTATACTAATATTAACAAAAAAAAGTTCAGAGACCAGTTAGAAAAAAAGCCTTTAGGGCCTAAATGTTAAATTTATCCATTCTTAAAAAAATCCATACCAAAATCCAAATTGAGCTCAGCTTGACCCACTGGACCGAATTTGAAAACCTAGACAAGGCCAACCAGCCCAACATCTTCAAACGTCACCGCTTTAATCTGCCGCGTCTCAAGATCGCATATAAATAACCAAAACGCCTGAGAGCCAACGATTGATTGAAGATTCTCTGCCAAGGTTACCATTTGATTTCATCCTTCTCAAACCCTAAATTATTACTTGTTTTTGCTTCGATTCATGTTCTGGAATGTATTGTAATACAACCCAGTTTTTTCTTAATAATAAGACACTGTTTCAATGTTGAATTTTCCGTTTGTCTAACAGATGGAGTCGACAAATGATTCCAATTCGGAGCCCGTTTCAAAGCCACAACTGATCTACCGCTGCAAAAGATGTCGAAGGATCGTTGCCTCAGAGGAAAGCATAGTTCCACACGAACGAGGGCAAGGTGGGCAATGTTTTAAGTGGAGAAAAAGGAGTGGGCATAACGTTGGGGACGAAGAGAAGGAGCCGACCCAATGTTGCTCCATATTCGTCGAGCCGTTGAATTGGATGCATCCGGTTCAAGATGGGTACGTCGAAGAGAAGCTTCAGTGTATCGGGTGTAAAGCTCGTCTGGGTTCGTTTAACTGGGCAAGTATACAATGCAATTGTGGAGCTTGGGTGAATCCTGCTTTTCAGTTGCTTAAGAATAAGATAGATGATTGCTATATGTGAAAAAAGGAATTAAAGAACCAGGATTGTTATGTTGCTTGATGAACTAATTTTAGTAAATTCCATGAATGAATTTGGTAGTTTGTTGTAGGAGATTAACATCCGTAGATTATTCAATAACCAATAAACTGCTATCAGGTTGTAAGGGATGGTTATTTCTATTAATTGCTGCTTCTGTTTCTTTATGTTACTCCGATTCCTCGTGTTTCTTGAAGTGTATACAATGCATATCCGGATACGAGTACACTCTCTAACATGGAAGTCTTGGATAATCACTTTCGAGCTTGGATGATAAATGAGAGGGACTGAATTTTAATGATTGAATTTGTATTATGAAAATTAAATTTATGGAGATTGGATTAGCCATTGAGTGAAAAAAGGTCACTTGGTTTTTGTTGAATCAAGTTTTATAATATTTTGATATAACAAATTATGACAAAATGTTTTTGGACTTAATTGAATTTGTTCAAAGTTTTCAAAAGATTTCAAAAATAATTCAAAGCTCACCTTGAATTTGAGCACAAAAACAAATTTTCTCGTACGTAGTATCGATACATGTCTTACAGTATTGATACTGTATGAACAATATCGATATTGTTCATAAGGTACCGATACCAAAAGTAAGAGAAGTATCGATACTCTCTAGGTAGTATCAATACTACCAACTTGCTCAAATTCCAAAATGCAAAATAAGTATTGATACCCAAAGGGTACTAATACTACTTTACTATCGATATCATGGTCACAGTATCGATACCATCAGACTCAACGACTAGTTTTATTTAAATATTACAAAGATAGTACCGATACCCTATATTTTGGTCAGCTTTATTTTGCAGAAAAAACATCCCTAACGGATAGAAACGACCACAAATTCGTTCTAACTTATAAATACATCAAGACACTTGAAAAAGATTAGAACACCTATCCAAGAAATCAAACACAAGAGAAGGATTTTTCATTCCAATTTTACTTTCTTTTGTAAATATTAGTGTTTTTGTGAGCTTAATTTTGTAAACACCTACCTTATGAGGTTTTCTTGTTTATATTCTTTTTTCTTTTGTAAATATTAGTGTTTTTGTGAGCTTAATTTTGTAAACACCTACCTTATGAGGTTTTCTTGTTTATCTTAACCATTGGAAAGATAGGGAGCTTGTAAATGTTCTCTTTGTTATTGAAAAAGAAAGAATAAATTAGTGGATTTATTGAAAAATCCTAAGTGATGAGTTTAGGTAGTGAATGTAGACTTAGTTGAGAAGTCAAACCACTATAAATCATTATATAAAATTATCCTATCTTTTTACTCTTTACTCCCTAAACTCTCAAAAAGCCAATTCACCTATTTATTTTCGATTGTTAATTTGAGCTTCATAAATCCTAACAGTTTTTATTGTTCTTTGTTGAGTACTTGCATGATTATGAAACTATTCATATAGAGTGAATTGCATACATTGCAGGTGGTTCTCGAATCTCGAGACCAAGATGGTTCAATTTTTACTGCCCAGCAGCAAATGCATCGACGGGAAATGTCTTGGTGACACCTGCAAGGCTCTTGAAGTGGATTTTCCCGGTAGGTGGGTCATCGACTATGATCTCATTCACCGGGGGCCAACATGAGTTCCTTAGCCTTGACTCCCTTGAGCTTCTTGATCCGGTTCTTGTCGACGAAACCTGTAATTTGAGTGTCGTAGCTGACCAATTTCTTGATAATCTTGAAGTTATGTTCAACCTTCTTCTTTTGCACAATCCACATGTAGCCCGTATCCCTTACGAAACCGACCTCGATAACATCCGCAAGAGGGAGAAGTCCCAATGGGAGGCCAAACTCTTGGAGAATAGCAATGGCCATTTCCATTCCCTCTTCATGGCCTTTCTTCACAACACCTCCTTCCTTCTATGCCATTAGAAACAGACTTATGAATCTTAAAACCTTTGGTTCAATTGATTGCTGTTGAAGTAGGTAGATTATTTGTACCGACTAGATGTACACTTGTGACAAAGTTATAGGGCATATCCAGGCCCATTGCATTGTGTTGGCCAGCAAATGGATTTTCACACCAAACCGGCCATTAACGAGATAATTGTTTCTAATAGGAAAAAGGTTGACATGTTTGTCTAGTTTGCATTTTTAATGTGTATTTAGTATATTCTTTTCTGCACTGTCCCTGTTAGGGATGATCATGGGTGGGATTGAGTTGGATTTTTCCCCCACCCGAACCCGTCTTAGAAAGTAAATTCTTCTGCTCGCACCCTACTTTATCCGAATTTAGGAAGCTTCCACCTGACTCAGTTTTTTTGGGTGAAAATCCGTGTTTAATATATTATAATTTTTGGGTCAAAAATTATAAATTTTACAAATATGATCATTAATAAATAAAAATTAATTATAAATTAACAATTTTTTAATTTTTAAAAAATAATTTTATAATTTTAAAAATAAATTGTAAATTACTATATATATAATTGATTTTTTAGAATTATTACTTAGAAATATTGAACAAAATCAAAATAAAATTTTAGTTACAATTGAGAGATCAAATAAGATTTTTTTATTAATTTAACGTATTATGTTACACCTTTAATGGTAGATAAAAATGTGGTATCCATTTTGTAATAAAATTTAAATTTTAATGTCTATTATATAACTTTTAAAAGTTAAATGTTCAAAAAGATTATTTTAACATTGTTTAATGACCATTTAAAAATTTTATCATAAAAATTAATGGTGTATGTGGCATGCATTCTAGTATCTTCCGCTTCAAAGGGTCTAGCTCGGCCCGATTCATTATATATTTTTATAATATATTTATCATTTTATTTTAATATATTATATTTAATTTAAATTTATAATAATGCATAATTTTATAATATAAGTAGTAAAAATATATCAATTTATTCGTGAATAAAGAATATTTTTTAAATAAAATTATTAAATATTAAATAAGAATATAGTAAATATTTTTTGAAAATAAAAAATAATATGAATGAACTGAAAATAAACTCGAATTAATCCTTTGTAAATATGAATAAACATTTTAAAAATAAAACTCATATTATAAATTGCTTGTATAATTTATTTATTTTCATGATAATCTTCTAAATTGTCCCTTTGTATTGATTCATGAGCATAGCAAAACGGTGAAAAGATCCGCTTCAACTTCATTGGTCGGTGTATTTTGGACGTAAAGACAAAAGGGCAAATTGTACAAGTAGTCACCGCCCATTGTTTTTTTTATTTTGATCATAAAATTAATTTTTTTAGTGAAAATATCACTAATATTTTTATTTTATTTTGATCAATTTTCATTAAATATCTAAATAAAACGTTAATATGAATTATTTTATTTTGATTTTTTACATGATTTTATCTCTTTTAGTTAGCATTGATGTTTTATTTATTATTATTATTATTTAAAACAATTAAATGATAACACATCAATATAGACCCAAATAGAAAAATGACTGCAATAATTAAAAGAATCTATACTAATATATTTTTAACTATCGATCAATGATTAAAATAAAAAATGACATTAATGAGAAAAAATTAATTTAGTGATTGAAATAAATTAAAAAAGCAATAAGTCGGTAACTAAAAAAACACTAAAATCCATTGGTCGGTGACCTAAAATTAGGTAAGCCAATCGGTCTTCCTCCATCACTCACATCCATTCCCAAATTCCATACAAAATAAAAAAAAAGGCTCTGTTTATGCCTCCCAAATCCTTCAGATATTTATTAATCCTATATATTTTCCCCCAATTTTCCAACCTTTTTTGAAAATTCAGAATTTCGCTTTCAAAAATAGCAACAAAACTGCCATGATGATGATGATGATAAGCTAACATATCATCATTATCATATATATATATATATATATATATATCCAGAGGATGAAAAGTGGTGCAAATGGTGACAGCATTCAGGGACCGCTAATCGAGGGAAATTTGTTTTTTTTTCCTTGCTTGAGCTTGCATTTACATTGGAAGAGTATTTCAGGATACATATAATATATATAAATAGAAGATAACAGATGGCAATGGCCTCTTTGATTCAAGCAGGATGTGTGTTTTCTCCGATTTTCAGTAATAATAGCGATAATTGCAGCTTCAGAACCGGTTTTATCGGTTCCAGTTCTTCTTCTTCCAACAATTTGAATTTCTCTTCCGGTAACGTTCTTTTATTTCAATTTGATATTTTGGGATCCGTGATTTGATTCTACTGCTAGAGATGTGGTATTTTAATTTAGTTTAAGTGTTACTATTAGTGAGTTACGCTCGAATTTATTCTGATCTAGATTCGAATTTATTTCGGTTATTACTCTGATTGTATTTTACTAGATTCTGGTTGTAGTTATTTTTATGTTGTACTATTTGTAATTGAAATTGTGATTATACTCTTAAGTCGAAGTAAAAAAATAATTCAAGTTGTGCTAAAGTGAGTGATTGATTATATTAAAAGAAAATGAAAAGGAATTTCATTGTTTTTTTTCCGAGGAATTGAGATTCAGTTAGGAATTTAGGGACTTGAAATATGTTAATTGGTGATGAAAGTGAAAAAATTGCATTAATGGTCATTTTGAATTCTTGATATTACCGTTTCTGTTTAGCTGATTCTTGATTTTGTTTGTAAACATTTTTAAGTAACAAATAGTAATTGGAGACATCAAGGCTTTAGAGCCCAAGCAATGAGTACCACTACTCATGGAGACTTTGTCGCTTCCAACCACGTTGGGAATGGAAAAAACGAGCCCGATCACCTTCTTGTTCTTGTTCATGGCATCTTGGCTAGGTATTTGATTGATGACTATGTGACTGGATGTAGTTGCATACATGAATTTGAATGCATACTAGTGTTGAACGAATAACTGATGCTAAAATGTGATGTGTTATGGATGTCAAATTGGTTGGAACATTTCCTTAATGCAGTCCTAGTGATTGGACATATGCAGAGGCGGAGTTGAAAAGGCGGCTTGGGAGAACCTTTCTGATTTATGGTATTTGTTCATATCTTCAATCTCATGTAAATTGTATGTATAGAGATAATCTATTGCTCCTTATTTATGTAATAATTTGTTGCAGCAAGTTCGGTTAACAGCCATACTAAAACCTTTGCCGGGGTTGATGGAGCTGGGAAGCGCTTAGCGCTTGAAGTGAGTTGTTAATTCCATCTTTCGTGGAAGGACTTTTAGTTTGCTGCAGTGTTGATTACTCCCTTCACCTTGTTTCGGTTTAATAGGTTCTGCAAGTTGTAAAGAAGACCGAAAGCCTGAAAAGGATTTCCGTTTTAGCTCATTCTCTTGGGGGCTTGTTTGCAAGATATGCAGTTGCTGTTCTTTATTCAGAAAGTGACTCAAGTGGTACCCAGTCTGATAATGGAACTGATTCTTCAGATGGAAATTTACAAACTTTATCCCCTTCAAGACGAGGAATGATTGCTGGACTAGAGCCAGTCAGTTTTATTACCTTGGCTACACCACATCTTGGGGTCCGAGGGAGAAAGCAAGTTAGTTCTCGATGTTGTTGGCTATCAAGTTTATTTCATAATGTCTTAGAGTTCAAATGATCATCTTTTGGTATGCACATTGCAGTTTCTAACATTACTCTTTGTGGTGCCTCAGCTTCCATTTCTCTTAGGAGTTCCTTTTCTAGAGAAACTTGCCCCACCAATTGCACCAGTTATTTTTGGTCGAACCGGTAAACAACTATTTCTTACTGATGACAAACCCAGCAGACCACCACTGCTTCTGAGGATGGCATCTGATTGTGAAGACGGAAAATTTTTGTACGTAAATTGAGCTTTTACAGTGACTACCACTACTACCATCATCATCATCATTATCGTTTGATATGAAGTGATGATATTTGAGGGGGGAAGTTGTGGATTTGAATCTCATACTTCAACTAGTGGGAAAACCACGGAGCCAAGTCTAGGCTGTTTCTATGAACGAGTTTATGATTATAATTTATATTCTTGCAGAACTGCCCTCAGTGCATTTAGGTCTCGCACTTTGTATGCAAATGTATCTTATGATCGTATCCTTCCGAATCATTTCTCTTCTACCATATTTAGCTACCTATGTTGCTTTTCTACTCGTTCCTCTCTGCTATCCGACTGGCACTTTCTTTGACATCGAATAGATATGGTTGGTTGGCGTACATCCTCTATTAGGAGGGAGAAAGAACTTGTCAAGGTAAACTTTAATGGTACTGAACAAGAGTTGTCCCAGTTTCATGCATACACCTGACATTTATACGGATTTGGCAGCCCCCGCTACGATCTTTGGATGGTTACAAACACGTTGTCGATGTGGAGTACTGTCCACCATTTTCTTCTGACGGCCCTCATTTTCCTCAGGAAGCTGCCAAAGCAAAGGCCGAGGCACAGAATGCACCCAATGCAACAAATACGGTGGAATACCATGAACTCATGGAAGGTAATCCATTTTGGCTATCATCCATATGATTATGATTCTTGTCGGACAATAACGCACCCCTTCCATTAACAGAGGAGATGATACAAGGTTTACAGAAATTGGGATGGAAAAAAGTCGATGTCAGTTTCCATTCGGCGCTTTGGCCCTTCTTTGCGCACAATAACATACACGTATTGTTTCGATCTTAAAACTTTTGATTTGTAAATTTGTTTTTCCTTTCGGTTTCTCATATGATCACCCCCATACCGTTTCAGGTGAAAAACGAATGGTTTCATAATGCCGGCATCGGAGTGATTGCTCATGTAGCGGATAGTCTTAAGCAACAAGAATCGTCTCCCTCGTATATCTCTGCAAGCTTGTAGCCATGAATTACTTGCAAGTGCGTTATACCACTACGCTTGAAGTATATTGTAAAAAGTAAACTATAAGATGAGATGAAGACTTTGTTTTGCACGGTATTTGGCATTTACCAGTTCATCTGTAGGCAATCAGGCAACCCATTAACCCGGTATTTTCCGAAAATAAGCATCGGATTTCGACGATTATCTCATTTAACGACTGATCAATAGTTACTTTTAAAAACTGCCATTCAGTAATTCGACTCGAGACAAACCCAAACAAGAAACTTCAAAAACATTTTGGACCGTGAGCCCGCCTGGCCGGAGATACCTTTTACCTAGAACTTTTAAAGAGTTTAAAGATCAGAGGATTAGAGACAGAAGTGGGCAGAGAATTTTGGTTGATAGACCACCATAACTTGTAAGAAAGCAGGGGATGGAGATCCATGCTCGTATTAGATCTGACAATATTACATATGATACGATTATATAACACGAGAAAATAGATGGCATACGAAATTGTCGATCAATATGATTGTATTTATATCATTTTTATATAAAATGAGTATACTACCCATTAATGATTTGTAATTTTTTTATTATGCTTGTAATGATTGAATTTGTATTCGTTATAATTGTTGATCAATGTAATTGTATCGTTGTTTAAGGAAAAAAATGTGACCCCTTTGTAAAAAAAATGTAATTTATAACCCAATTGGTCAAGCGAAAACTTAATTAAATATGATTGAATTGTATTATTTTTATCTTGATTGGATTAGTTTGACTTTTAGAATTTTAATGGAACATACAAATTAATTTTTAATTTATTCAATTCTTTAAAAGAACACTCTTTTAAATTTTAAAACGGAATTGACGGATATAATACTGCAACAAAATTTAAACTTTTAACAATTTTTATGTTTTTATTTCAGTTTATTTGCAAAACACACATTCTTATCATTTTCTTATTACATAAAATAGTGAAAATCAAGGAGAATGTATAATTTTATATTTGGGTATGAATTTTTAAATTTTATATTAAAATTTAAACTTTTCATAAAAAAACCCTGTTTTTTGTACCCACTCAATCCATACATGATGAGAATATGGCATAGTTTTCTACAAAAAAAATATTAATCCAAAAAAAACTTCAATGAGTAAGTTGTCGTTTTTTTCATTGAAATTTTAAAAGTAACAAATTGATCACTAACGTTATTGATTTGTAACAAATTGATCATCAGTGTCTTTCTTCTCTCTTCTTTTTTCAAGTGATGAATATAACAACACAACCACTATAAAAATGTTGCAAAGCTCACGGTGTAACAGTCGATGATCGAAGATCACACCCTACCTAGTGGAACATCAACACCCTAAATATGCAAGATAAACAATCAATAAAATTATCATAAAACTCAAATTCAACCATAAAAAATTACCATGGCTGAATCATACATGGCGGGCTCTCCGAAAAGGAAATCCTGTTACAAATTCGTAAACAAATAAATATCGAGTTGTGATAATATATATTTCATTTTTCATTGTTTTTTCCTTGAAAAAAGTTCAACTAATTTCTCTCTCTATATCTCTCATGGCTTCCTGCATCGCTCCCATTTTCCATTTCAGGTTTTTCATTCTTTCTGATCTTAATTAACTTTTTGCTTATTATGCTTCAAGTTACACATGCGTTCATGTATCATAGGTTTCATATAGTCTTTGGAATCTTCAAGTGATTGCCCCCTTGTACGTTTTATGCTTGATTATATTCCTGGTGTTACTTCTCCCATGGTTTATATTGGCATGATGTTTAGCTGGTTTGAATGGCATGTTGAAGATCCCAGAGCCTACCCTAAATTACTCTTTTAAACTTTTGAATATTTTAATTTCATCCCTAAATAAAGACTGTCATTCTACATTAGGCCCTAAAATTTTGAACATTCCAATTTCACCCCAAACTATGACCTCATTTTAAATTGATCCTCAAACTTTTGAATCTTCCAATTTCATCCCTAAATTCATCCGAATACGTAGTTAGTTTCAACCATAGTTTAACCTAAATTTTTATTATTTAAAAAATTTAATAATATGATTTGGCCTTACGATTTTATTAACAAGGGATGTGATAGTATATATGTATAGTTTGGGATGAAATTTAATTGTTAAAAAAATTCGATGACCAATTTAGAATGAAGGTCATCATTTGGGGATGAATTGAAATGTTCAAAAGTTTGAGGACTAATGTAGAATGAAAGTCATAGTTTAAGGATGAACTTAAAATCATTAAAAGTTTAGGGACTAATTTAGAATGATGATCACAATTTGAGAATATTTGATGTAATTAACTCATTTACTTTCAATAACTTAACAAATAATTTTTACCACGTATGCTATTTTTTTTATAAAGAAATAAAAATGGATACAAATCTTCCTTTAAACAACATTAATTGAAAATTTAATATAACTACTTTGTTAAGTATGGTGAATTGTGGGTCTAGTCAAAGGTTATAAAGTAATAAAAACATAAAAAAGAGTTGATTACATTATACATTCCTAAACGACGACTTTCGTTCTAAATTAGCCTATGAATTTTTAAACATTATAGTTTCATCCCAAAACTATGAATGTTGTTCTAAATTTATCCCTAAACTTTTTAAAATTTCAAATTTATTTCCAAAATGTGACCCTCATTCTATATTAATCCCCAAAATTTTGAATATTCTAATTACATCCTTAAACTTTTGAATGATTCTAGTTTAGCATTGCTTTTAGGAAGTGCTTTTAAGAAGTACTTTTAAAAAGTGCTTTTAGATTATTTAGATTAATATACTACCTCTGTTATTAGAATGTTCAATAATATAGGGGCTAATTTCGAATGAGGGTATAGTTTGGGATGAAAGTAGAATATTTAAAATTTAGACAGTATTTTAAAATAAAGTTAATAATTTGGGGATGTATGGTGCAATTAACTCATAAAGAAAATAGAAAAGGAGAATCCAAGTAAAACTGAAGTTGGGAACCCTATACACCGTTCCTTAATTACGTAGGTTCCCTCCCCTCTCATTCCCTTAATCTTTCCCGCCAGTACTTATCAACACTAATTACTAATTAATTAATTAAACTAAAATTAATTATTACTTTTATGTGGACCCCACCCTAAATCCCCAAGATTAAACACCTAAAAAAATGGCAAATCTTAGTATGATCCATAAAAGAACAATGAGAGAAAAAAATAGAATAACAGAAAGCAATTACACAAACAAAATCACAGTTTGTGGGGGGTGGCTGGTGGGGGCTCCAATTTTCCAGGGAAAAATAGGAGAGAAAAAGAAAAAGGGGTAGAAAATTCTCTGGAAAAATTGTAAGAAATTAAACCAAAAAACAAAAAACCAAGATTGTAGCCACCCCCATTGCTGAGAGGGAGAGAGAGCATCATGGTTAATGTCAAAAAGAGTATACTTGAAAAAAAGATCTGGGTTTATTTCATTTTGATTCATTTAGTTTTTGTGTAATTTGCTGTTTCAAAATTCTATTTTTTCATTTTTTTATTCTCATTGCTGCCTTTTTTATACTTTTATCAAAAGGATCTCTTTTCTCCACCACCCTCACCTGTTAAAATTCCTACCTTTTGAAGAAATCCCATTTTTATCATTACAACAACATCAGAGGGAAAACAAAGTTTCAAAATTTGTGCACCCTTTGTGGTGATTTTCAAGTTAAGTTTCAGCTTTTGATAACTTACATGCACTTGTCAAGAAGAAGGGTGTTGTAATATCAGATAAAAGAGCTGAAGGAATGAGAAACTCTGATATGATCACCAATGTACATGTATTTGCTTTTCTTTGTAATATAGTTTTGAAGTAAAAAAACCAAAAAAAAAGAAAGAAAAGAAGAACAAGAGATTTTATTTTATTTATTTTATTTTTTCTATTTTGTTGTTGTTGTTGGTGGTGGTGTTTCGTTTTGTGGACTGAGATTGGAAGGAGGGGGGTGGAGCTTTTGTATGAAGAAAACCTGGCGTTTCTTTATAGCATTTGGCTGTTTGCCATTGCAGCATTTGATTCATATAGCAATGGGGGGTAAATGGAATTCAATTGGATTTTATTTTTTAAATTTATTGTTGTTGGTTCCGAGTTTCATCATTCAAGAGTCTCTGGCTATCTCCACTGATGGTAATTCCATATTGTGGTGTTTATGTTGCTCTTCGATTTCCTTCATTACTTGTTTGTCTGATTTTGAAACGGATTTGGAGATGCAGGATCGGTTTTGTTAGAATTTCGAGCTCAGATTGGTTCTGATCCTTATGATTCATTTGCAAATTGGAATTCTAATGATACCACACCGTGCTTGTGGTTTGGGGTCCATTGTGTTGATGGTAAAGTGCAAATGCTGTAAGTACTTTTGTATTCCTCTATGCTCTTTAAAATGATTCTTTTAATGAACATATATATATATATATATACATATTCAGAGAAGAATCCTAGCCAAGTTCCTCATTTGGTAGGTAATTGAAATTTTAGTTTCTGAACTGTCTTTACTAAGTGACCAACAAGTTGTTGGTTGAGAACTCTAAGTTCGAAATCTGGGAAATGCACTTATTGGGAGAGCTTTACCTTAACCACTCCTGTGCTGAAAGGGATTAGTCTTAAGTCTAATGTGGCTTAGGGATACCATGAGTTTACACACACACACACACACACACACAAAGAAAAAAAAAAGAATGGTCGCACTAAGTGAGCTAGGTCTTTACCGAAACAGTTTTTGGTTTTGAAGTGCTTTATGGTGTAAACTATGAAGGATGAATGTTTCGATGACAGTTTTTTTTCTTTTAGGGATTTGAGTGCCCTTGCTTTGAATGGAACTTTGACACCTGAGCTGGGGAAATTAAGCAACTTAAGATCACTGTAAGATTCACAATTTCCTGCTGAATTAGTGGCCTTCCATTCATTTTCTTGGTCGGGATTGTCAGATTTATGATTATAAAATCACTACTTTATTTAAACTATATTATCTGGAAACAAAGTTGTGACATATCTTTCACTGTTTAATTCTTATTTAGCGGTAGTCTTTATCAGCTTTCTTGTATAAGCCCCTGGTTTTATGCATTGCAATAGATTAACTTAC